TATCTCAAAAAACTTTCCCATCAATTAATGGTTTTCTTATTGTACGTCAAATTTCATGTATTAAAATATAAACATTATTACAAGTTATATTTTTGAGAAATACCTTAGAGGTTGATCTTCTTGTAGGAGAAGGGCTGCAAAATCCAATGATTAATGATTTGAGAGTTTGAAGACGAAGGGTTTCGTGACTTGAATCCTAGATTTCAAAGTTTGTTGAAAACTTAATTTGTTGAGAAATTGATTTGTTTGACACTTGATCTTGTATTGGGCTTCGAGACTTGAATTTTCTTTGATTTGAAGAAGATTTTGATCTTCTTGATGTTACCCGGACTTAGTTAAGAGAGTTTCTTCTTTTCTTCCTACTTTGGAATTTCTTTTGCACTTGTGTATTTTTTATGGACCTTTGGCTCAGAGATTTGTAACCACTTTGTAACCATGCAATTACATTTATATAAAATAAATTAATTAAATATAATTATGAATTTTAAAAAGTAGAATGGGTCTTTTTCACGTTTCTTTAATCCAAATGAGCTTATTAGACTTTAAAGGGTTGCATATGTAAAATTCGACTATGTCCATTTAATTGTTTTATTTATTTATTTTTTGATGTCTACAAATATCCTCTCAAGATTTTTTATTTATTATGAAAATAAATAAATAGATAATCTTGAATTTAGTTTTAGAATTTGATTAGACAATGAATTTTCGATGTTATCCTATTGGTACTTAGACTTTGAACAAGATTCTTGTCCTTGAAGATAAGAAGAGTTTGAATTCAATTCTATCAAAATTCAACAAACTCATCCCTATATATAGAACTCGTATGCTAGGCAAAGAAAAAATTGAAATCAAGTTCACTATGCAATGACAAGGGGCCAGAAATATGCAACAACCGCGTGGTCTTTCTTTATTTTTGTGCTTAAATTAGCCTTTTGTACTTGTTCCCCCCTTTTTATTCAATTTGATTTGAAATTTTTCTTTTTTTTTTTTAAAAAAAAAGTAAAATTGTTACACATTTTTGTTTTCTTTTCAATAACAAATTTTATACAGTAAAAAAATCTGATAAATGAAATTCAATAAATTGATAATCTCGTTTAAATAATAAAATTCTCCATTCCCGACTTGTGCTAGTGTACTAAATAAATAACCCCATTAAATGTACTAAATTTTTTTAAGATCCTTTAAGGCCCAACAAATATATAAAATAATAAATGTTTAAATTCATAAAAATTCATACTAATATAAATTAACAAACTTAAATTGACAATATTTTCTTCAATTCATCTATTTTACAAAGTATACATCTAAAGTCTTTTACACTCTTTTTTTTTGTACCCAAACCAAACTCAACATGATTCTTAATTTTTTGCTATGCACAAACTACATTCGATATATTTTTTTTCATTTTGTATAAATTAATTATTTAAAATTACGACTGCTTGAAATGCCTCTTTTGAGGAAACAATTGGTAAAACACAATTTTCATCTGGATCATGATCATCATTGATAGATGTATTGAGTACGCCTGAATAATATCTTTGTTAGTATGAGATTTAATCACCGCATCATTTTCACTACAATAGTTTAAAAAGGTGCTCGACATCCATCACATTTCTATAACGTAGACCAAAAATAACTTCACACAATCTATTGATTCGTTCATCTTCACTAATTTTTGGTTCAACATTAATATCTTCATTTGACTGAATCTTACAAATTTTTTAACTCATTTCAAATGAAATGTCATAGTATTAAAAATGTATGAAATTTGGAATGCGTGTTTTCTAGAGAAAGTATTTGTCGAACATCGTCAGAATATTTGAATACTCCTTGTCGGAAAGTATTTTCAGAAGATGGATGGCTTCAATTTTCGCAATCAAAAGTAAAAAATCTACAAAGGAAAACGAATGCTTCCTTTCATAGGTAGAGGCACATAACCTCGACCGTCAGATCAAATCAAGATCCATCATGGCCATTCAATAATTAGTTCATCCTAAGCATTCAATTCAAACGTCAAAGACGTCTGATGGTTTAGATGGAGCGGTGTTCTACAAACGTGACAGAGACGCGTCACCTAAAACCTGCATATTCGTTTGCCATGATTAGCCTTTATGACCTACAAAACGCGTTTTTGGTGCAAACGCCTCCCGAGTTGGTTTTCTTGGAAATATGGGAGTGCTTTCAAATCATTAGCACGGGACCCTAAAATATCTCATCAATTCTAACACTAGTTCACTTATGCTTCAACATTCGAAATTTGTACCACTTCACCTCTACGATATCAGCTTTTCTCAAAGCTTCCACCTTTCAAAGCTTCGTCCTGAATCAAGGACCTCACCTTTGTATTGTCTACAACTTAAAGTATTTCGATCTACTTTTACAAATTCGAACTTTTTTCTTTTGTTTTTTTTAGTGATAAATCTGATTCAACCACTATATGCTCATTTCGTATAGTAATGATCTGACTAAATATTCAAATGCTTAATGAAAATGGTTATCTTGACAATGCTTATGGATCAACCTCGCTAAGGATAATATTCAATAGACTCTGCTTGAGCCTAGTTTCTAGGCCAAATTCATTATCTCCACTTGAACTTGGATTATTGTTATTCTTATCAAGTCAGACCTTTTCCTATATTAATAAGTTTGTAACCCAAATGTAAGGCTGGACAAAAATCCCAAACTAAATCGTACCGAACCGGACCCGAACCGAGCGGTTCTTCTTAAGTTAAATACCCGAACGGGTATTTGAATCGAGAACCGATGGGTTTGGTTCAATTCTAGGTTCAATAATGATGTGAATATTTTTGTATGTACGGTTTATGATTCAATAAAAGTGACTTTTATCAAAAGTGTCCAATAAACCATCCTTACGCAGAGATGCATAAGTACCTCGCCAAAGAGAGGGATCCCAAGGGGACCACTCCCAAAATCCGCGAAGTGCTGTACATGTCCTTAACAACAATTGATTAAGGAAACCTCAGCGTGGGCGAGCCGCTCAACCCCGTCCTCAGGAAACAAAGTTCGTAATATAAAAGTTGAATTAAATTTTTGCACAAGTTCTTTAAAAATAAAATAATACATCCCAATAAGGCAGCCCAAAGGAAGATCCTCTTTGTAGACGAACTGCCACTGAGGGCACCCTGATAAAAAGTTAGGTCCCAAAAAGGACCACATCTACATTCACAAAGTGTGACACAAACCTTTAGTAACTAAAGTT